CAACCGGTTTCTTTCTCGCAGTTAATTAATTAGCGTGTGACGGAATCTTCTTTCTATCTTTTGCTCAGCCTGCGTTGCGATCCGACCTCTTCGTTTCCCGTCTATCTCTCTCGTTTACGCTCCGTCCCCTTATGTTTCGCCGAGCAGAAACTCGTCTCTCGTTAATTTGACGCTACTTTGCAGCAAGAGATTCATTCGAGGTTTCGCGCCTTTCCAAGATTTTAGCGGAAACGCGATATCTCGCGACTCGAAAATCGGTCGACGAGCTTTTCACCGACTACCCTGCAACCGTCGTCTCCGCTATTTCGTCGCCTCTAATTTCTCCGCGCGTCCCCGTCGCAGATCGCTCGCAACGTATCGCGCGCGCGAACCGTCTCAAAGGCCGCCGCGGAGGAAATTCGTCGCAACCGCGAACGAGAGGAAACAAATCGGGGTAACGTCGAGGCGTTAAAGTTGAAGACTGAGACGCGAAGGAGGAAGGAAAGAGCGTTCGATCGTCTGTAATTACTCCACAGACTCGTGTCGTACGAGGTACGAGATGGCGCGTGCCATCGGGAAATGGCGATTCGCCGGGTTAGTCCAGAGGCCGGAAAAGAAGAGAAACGGAAAAGCGAACACGAGCCCCGCGTGGACGGTGTGTGGGCAGCGAAGCCTTTTATCTGCTTACGCTTTATTTGCATTCGCGCTAACACGAAGGATCGTCGCGGTATGTGAACTCACGTACCTAACGCTCTCCGTAAACCGGGAATCTGGCGATAAATGTAAAAATGTCGCAACCGCGTCACCGGATGTCCCTCTTGTTTTTTGTCATCCATTTATGCATGAAGGCATCCCCTGCTTAATCCACCCATCTCCACCCACTCGTTCAAACTCCGCGCTGTAAGTATGCATCGGCTCCTTTCGCCGATCGCCGCGCCCTTATTCCACCCTCTCTCTCTCTCTGCTCTTCAACCTCCGTGGCAGCGCCCGCGTCTTTCGACGACTTGTCACGAAATCGAGCGTGCTCGACGCTGATTTTCGCGCCTTGCACACGCGATAGCGGCGAAACGAACCGCGAAATCCCGTCGAAATATGACGTTCTGCCCCCGTTCCTTCGTGAATCATCCGCTCGTGCCGCGGTAATATAAATCGAGCAGAATTTGCGGCCGACCATCTTTCTTCCCGCTGGATAGCGCGGTTCGCGTAATGAAACTCGGGACAGTCCTAAACGATCCGCGATTCCACGGCTCGATAGCGTTTTCGACGTGTCCGCGAGGGGAGCACAATGCGCCTCGTACATCTCCCTTTCCGTCATCCATTTTCATACAATGACTCTGTCAGCCGCACTCGCATTCCTCGACGTCGTAAATACAGTTCCCAATTGTCTGCCGCGATCGTTTCAGTCTCCAGAAGAATTTGATTCGCCGTTTCCATTCCACCGTTCCGCCGTTCCTCGATCCGCGCGCGTTCGATCGACGATACCGAGTCCAAAGGAACCCTATTTTTAGCTTTTTATTTAAAATTTGCTCGGGATATCGGGGTTAAGCGAGCATCATTCGAGATTATGACTTTTCGCGCAACGCGGAAAAATCGAGCACCGTGTCATTTGTTTCACGAGTGCTCGCGAAGAAGAATAGCGACCCGGTGGAAAACGAACTATTATAACGGTATGAAAATGATCGTATTGAAATCGACGGAGCACAAAGATGGATACCGCGAACGGGGAAACACTCGATGTGGAACGATCATCTGCCTTCCGGGACTGCCGCGAAACGAGTGCATTGTGGATTTCACCAATCACCACCTTTATACCATCTCTCTCTCTCTCTCTCTCTCTCTCTCCCTCTCTCTCTCTCTCTCTCCCTCTCTCTCTCGCTATTTCTCTGGCTCTTTATTCTATACTCTTCGGATTCGACCGCTTTGTTCGCGTTGTTCCTTCCCGTGTGAACCGTGCGTAATTCGACGTCGAAGGATCGCGGAATATTTTTCCGAAAAATTACGCGAACCCCGATAACCGAATATCATCATTGTCGACATTCGGAACGGTCGCATCGGCCGATTCGCCGCGACTCTCGCGAAGAAAGTTTCGATTGAACGGGGAAAAACGACGCGTGGAAATAATAGGATTTCACGGAGAGGATATATCGAGAGAGGAACACGAGAGCGCACGCGTCCGAGAGACGTTTAATGTCCTCGAGAAAAACGAGGTGGATTTCCACGCTGTGAACGTCGTCCACGGACGTGTAATCGGATATTATATTCACCGATCGGATTGATATCTCTGTCCTATTATGCCGCGGCATGAATTCCATTTCGAAGAATGCCGAAATAGGGGCTAGGATAGAAGAGAGCGTAAGCATAGGTGGGTGAAATCGGGGATCGGCGCAAAGTGGCAGCTAGAAACGACAGGGGTTGCCACTGCTACAGCCACGGAACGGTCCCCACACCGCAGCGCGCGGTTCGAATCGAGGATCGAGAGCGACGACGGATACGGAAACATGGAACCGGTAATCAGTGGCGCGAATCAAGAGCGCTGGTCAATGAGAGCTGCGCGATATCGGGATTTTACGTTCGCGTGGAAACGTTACGGATGCGTAGTTTACGCCGTTGCGTCGCTCGGTTGGTGAAGAACGAGTGCAGAATCGATTTCGTTTTTTCGCATTTCGAGTCGGCGCGTCGCGGAATTAAGACTGTACCCGCGATTCGTACGAGTTTCGAGGATTCCACCGAATATTCGACCACGTGCATACCTCTCTGTACGTGTACGTCGCGTTACGTTTCGATTCGAACGCGGGGGCGAGTCGGAAACTCGTAGCTGGCCGCAAACGATCGAGTCAAACGGATTCGTAGGATCGCGGTGGCGAAAATTGCTCGTGATCGCGTTTAATCCAAATTGTTATTCGAAATTCATTGGAATCGCGGTTTAAAGCTGCTCGCTTAAATTCATGCGGGAGAACTTTGGCCGTCGCGAGACGTTTCCGGCTTACGTCTAATCCCAATTAAAAATCATTTTATCACTGTTCCGCCGGTCGGTCGGGTTCCAACGAACGAAAGTTAACTCGGGCAAATTATATTTTCCGGTCGAGCGGAAGAGGGAGGAAAGACGGTAGGGAGGAGGTGTCGATCCAGAGAAAGGGTGCGAGAGGGTGGAATGGAAGAGGAGAGACGGTGGAACGGAAGGAAAAGAAATGTGCTGCCGCAGTGGCGACGCCGTCTGCAATTACAATGCCTTAATTTTATGCGCGAAGTTAAGCTCCTTTTAAGAGTCCCGAGAGTGGTTAAGTCTCCTCCGTGGCCCTGTCTGCCAACCCCCGTGCCCCTTCGGGTTTCGGCCTCCTCCGCGGAACACTCGTTTTACCGACACTAACGTATTCATGGGAAACGTTCTTTTAACTCGCCGGTCCGGCACGATCTCCCGACGAGTCGCGGCAATTATTTTAATTTGTTTAGAGACCATTCTCTCCTATCTCCGCCTTTTCTCTCCTACCCCGACGACAGAGTTCTTTCGCGCGCCATTCTTCATTCCGTCCTTTCCCCTTTTCTCCCTTTTATCCTCGATATCGTCTCGGTCTCCTCGCCAGCCGACCGACCACCGCCTTTAAATGCTCGTTTACCACTCGACGCAACGACCTCTTCGAAAAGCTCATCGTACCGACCGACGGTCATCGTTTTCCTATTACAACGTCCGGGTCCTATTTATCGCGAAACGTTCGCGAAACGTTCGCGATTCTCTTTGTATCGGGAACGGAAGCAATTCGCTTTGGTTCTCTAATCGCGATCCTCCCCTGTTTCCCCGCGAGCACCCTCTGCTTCGCGTCTTTATTCTCCGCAAATCTCTCCCGTGTCCACAGCATCTCTTCTCGACGCTGGTTAAAATCCGTGGAGAACGACTAAATTTCCCGTTTCTTGCGCGGCAACGTTCGAACGGATTGCATCGACGTTGAAGCTTCGCGTGGAAAAACGACCGGGCAATTAAGGGTTTTTTCACGCGTCGCGCCATCTCGATGCCTGCTTAATTCCTCGTTAATCAGCGGAGACGAAGGGTAAACGGGCCGAGACGCTGTCCGCGAAGAGGCAAGGCGACGAGTCCGTGGAGATCGAAGTCGTGTCTCTCTCGGGAAACTCTCTCGAGTCATCGCGCTCGTTAAAAACCAATCCAATTTGTCTTATGGTCGTGAACAAAGTGCACCGGATGAGACTGCGCGACTGTCGAAACTTCCCAGGACGAGTCAACGTTGCTCGGTGCTCTCGTTGATCGACCATGCGACGTCTTATCGCTGAAACTCGCCGAAACTTTAGCGCTCGATTAGACTTACGAACTCGTTCGCTCGCCGCTCCACCCGATAATCGACGTCGCGACGCGAAAATTTCAACGACTGTCCATAGCTTGTCTGCCCGTCCGTCCGTTCGTTCGTTCGTTCGCTCGCTCGCTCGCTCGTCGCCGGGGAGAATAAAACGCGAATGGAAGAGTGGCGAGGGTGTCGGGTATATTGAAAACGAGTGGACGCGAAGAGTATCCGATAAGTTGGTTCGGCAGCTGTCTCGCGTACGAGCCTGCGTCACCATTGTCGTGGCCGACGTCGTGGTCGGTGTCGAGGATGGTCCAGGGTAACGCCCCTGTGTCGGCCATTCGGGCCTCGACTCTGATACACTCGCTAATGCCATTTCGGAGGGCTCGATCTCCGAAGTACTTAAAAGGTTATCTGACTCTCTCGGTCGAGTGCACTTCTGCCGGTCTGTATTGAGTTTCAGGCTTGGGACTTGAAGAGCAAGCAAACTCCTCCCGCACTCGGACCTCCGACTATGACGAATTGCGAAAGTTGAGTGAAAAATTGGTCCGGGTTAGATAAGACCGGCGCTACGTACGCGTCGCTCGGCGACCATCGCGCGCACGCGCTTCCTCGCCCTCTCGTAGTTGCTTCGATTTCGATTCTTCTTACCCGACCGCGTATCGAACCGATCATCCCCCGTTCCCTGCCATCGCTGCTACCAATAACTTTCGCACACGAATGCTTTTCCAGCTACGACGCGAGGAATCGGCAGTTCGGCAAAGCCAAGCTGTGGAGCGCGTCGCACTTTTGGGGAGACAGAGCGACTTTCAGGGCGAGTCCGCCTGCACAGCTGACGATCCGAGATCTGAAGGAAAGCGACCAGGGTGTTTACAGGTGCAGAGTGGATTTTCGCAACTCGCCGACTAGAAACCTCAAGGTCAACTTCACCGTGATCGGTAAGTCATTGAATTTCATAAGAGGACCGGTGTTCGGGATTTCGCGTAGGATTCTCGGGAAAAGTTTGGCCGGATAAGTTTCCGCTCGAGCTGCCGCTGGAGAATCGGGACGAGAGCGAGAAAGAGAGAAGAGAGAGAGAGAGAGAGAGAGAGAGAGAGAGAAAGAGAGGGTCACAACGTGCCGGAACGGTGTACCGTAGGCATTAAAATTTAAAAACACCGGCTTTCCTTCCACCGACGAACTTTGCAGTTGCACGCCAAACTACTTGGAAACTTATCACGGTTGCTGGAAATTGCGATACTCGAGCGGATCGCGGTGAATCGAGAGTGCAGGGAAATCGCGGCGAGACGATTGGCGGTTAGTTTGAAACACGATCGAGAGGCTAGCGATCCTGCGGACAATCGGTCGCGCACCGAAAGGAAGCATTCGCGAACGATTGTGTCCAGAGTGCGGCGATTTGCGGTCGATTAGTTCGCGCACCGATTCGTCGTTCCCTAGAAATCGATCGGTCCAATTGCCCGATCGCTCGTCACTCAGCCAGTTACGCCCAGACTTTATTTGTCGATCAAGGTTAATCAACCCCTGGCCAACTCCGATACCGCGTTCGTTCCCGATTCCACCGACCGGAGATCAATACCGAGGAAACTTTTTCAAGAATATTCCCCCGTTTTCCATTCAACGCTTCCCTCGATTCGTATCCATAGCCGATCCAGCGCAATTCTCGCGTATAATTTCTCCCTTTCTCTCTCCTCTTTTCCCAATTTCGTCCAACGAAAAGACGTCCTTCTGCCGTGAAAAGAAGTCGGTTCGATCGCGGAACAGGGAGAATGGGATAAAAACGAAGACGGGAGGGAAAACAAAAGGCATAAGACGGTATCGTTGGCTAATTAGACGAGAAGAGGAAGAAAGGGAAGAGAGAGAGAGAGAGAGAGAGAGAGAGAGAGGGTTAGAGCGTCGGAACAGAGAGTTGGAACACGGTGTTACGCGCATCGACTTGCAGCCGCGGAGGCAGAAACTCCGAGCGGGTTCCTCCGATACTTTCTCGAAAGTCTAAGACGAGCCCAAAGGACGTCGGTCTTGTCTCTTAATAGGATCGAGAGCCGGTATCGTGGCCATTCCTCGAGGAGAACGCGCTCGGTGCACGCGGCAGCGGCCCAAACTCCTTTTAGGCAACCTCTAACCCAATTTACTCATCGATCGGCTATTAAACCGAGTTAAAGCGCGGACTGCCGATTCCGCTCGGCGGAGTAGCCACGAAAACTTTAAGACGTTCCCCTAAAATCTGCCGAGACGTGGACGGTGAACAAAAGAAGTCTCGTGACCTCTGCGATCGCGGTCGCGATAACGAGACCGTATTCCGTCTACGATTCTTCGTCGGAACTTCGTCAAAGATCACCGGCCGGAAATTTCTCGTAAACTTTCCTCTGTGCGAGCAAACGCGACGGAAAACGCGTCGTCGTTCGTCACGACTCGTGTCACTTTCTACCTTGGCGAGCGACTCGCGAAAAATAAACCAGCAAAGCGTTCTCCGCGGAAGAATCTTTAAAAAGTTTCAAGAGTGTTTCGGGTTACGCGAAAGCGCTTCTCGCCTCGGCTCGCCTGCTCGCTTTCCGAGCGAAACGAACGCGAAACGAACGCGAAACGAACGCGAACCAACGGCGAATATTCGCGTCCGAGAATTCTAACGGGGATGGGAAAAAATAGGAATCCCGGTGCCGGAGAAGAGGACGAATTCCGACGAAGGAACAACGCGGATCGCCGCGTTTTCGAGTTAATACCCGAGTAAGTTTCGAGCTTATCCCGATCCACGAACCGGAGAGAGTGCACCGTCGACTCCCTTGGAGGGAAGTAATCGAATAGACGGTACATCTTGCAGCCGGGAGGCCATCGGTGTTGGAACGCGGCGGTTGCTCGTTTTACGCTTCGACGCACGCGAACGTCAGAGCAGATCGGTGCACGCCGAGTTAATTCCAAATTACGCCAAACGTCGTCGATAGAGGGAGTAAACGCGAATCAGCCGAGCACCGAACCAACGAGTTCCTGGTCGTCCAGCATTACGGACCGTGTTAAACGTCGCCGAAAAACCGCTCTGTCCACGAATCTGTCCAATATCGATCGATCGATCGATCGTTTCTTCGTTGGTTGGTCGGTCGGTTCATTGGTTCGTGTTGGTTCGTTCGCGGTATACGAGTCTAGCTCTCGAGCCATTCTTCCCACACGGTTAATATCGAACGTGTTTGTTCGTTTTCCCATTTACCTGCCGTACGTAGATATCGTATCGAGTGTAAACGACCAACCCCCCTCGAGTTCTTCCACGGAGAAGCTTCGCCACTCGAAGGAACCGAGGTCGATCCGTGTTAGAAACTTGGAAGCGGAAGCTGCTGAAGCGTCGAGTCGGTGAACGTTAATCCGATTAGGATTTAGTTTAGATTTTGACAAGGAACCACCCACGCTCGACGCTCTGTATTTCAGGGACGTCTAATCGCCGATTACGGAGAAATTAATTTTCTCTTATCCCGCTCTCCATTTCGCCCACTTACCTTCGTCTCTCGCCTCTCGTTTCTCGTCTCTCGTCTCTCACCCGGTCCCGACCATCTCGATCCGAGTGCCGCGCGCGTCTTGGATATCAACCGATTTACCTTATTCGTTCCGCTACTCCGCGCGATGCTCCCTTCGTTATCCGCTTTTCCCTATAGTCGCGGGTTAACGACCTTCTGCCTCTTCGTTTACGCTCGAAACTTTTCGCATCGTTGCGAACCAGGTACTTAACCGCATGGTTATGCGCTTATCGAACGGTCGTCGAGCTTGCGCTCTGGCCAGCCGTGCGTTTAGTTTCCTCGCTCTCTGACAAAAAATTCCACCCCGACGCTTCGCCGAATTAGTTTTAGAGAATTATTCCAACGACTCGACGCGAGACCACGCGTTACCTATTATATATAATACAGGTACATGTACCTTTACACCGACAGCGCTGTTCTCGTCTACCGCGAGTCTACTTTGCCAGCTAAATTATTAGGTGTTCTAATCTGTCTCTAAACCGATCGCACCGAAATCGCAGGAATCACGAACCATCGGGAAACGCATTATTCCCTGAAATAGATGCTTAATGCTGAATATCCACGTTTAAGCCTCTTATCGGTGATTACCCATTAGCCTCGATGAACGAAGGCCAACGCGTTGAGCCTTTAAAGGATAGCGACGGACGACCGTTTCTTTGAAAAAACAGATAAGGCCCACGGTGCAGGGACATGGTCGTTACCGGACACGAGGTTCCCCCTGCACCCCCCCTCTCTTTTCCTTATTTTCCCCCTTTTACTTCCTTTTTTTACTTTGTCGAACGCCGTCTAATACCTCACAGTCGATACCCGACGTCGAGCATCTCCGTTTAAGCCTCTTATCTGTAATTACTTAGAGACCCGAAAGACAGGGAAACGAAAGGACTCGTTCCGACGAAATAAGCCGAGCATCAAACACTTTGGCTACCCCAGAATCTCACCGGCTTTTCTTTCACGGACCACGACAACGCACCACCACCACCATCGCCACCGCCGCCCCGACCCCCCGCCGCAAGTTTTTCCGTGGAAATTAAATATTCCAGCGGGGAAAACGATGCGTCTTCCTCGATGGCGAGGATCGTCGCGGAGAAATACGAACCTCGAGGACAGGCTAGCGAGGAAAGATACGGGGGGAATTATGCGTGAAATACGAACACCGAATGCACGTCGAGCAAGGAAGTCATTTCGAAATTTCAGCACGGAAACGAGGGCTACGACGACGACGACGACGACGACGACGACGACGACGCTCGTATTTCATCGTTAACGGATTCAATGGAAAATTCAAAGACGCTGCTTGCGATGGTTCGTGTCTCGAACCGGCTGACCGGTGGGTCTTTCGCGTCTCGGGTATCTTCCGTTTTCTCTGTTCTCCGTTCCCTCTCTCCCTCTGGGGACTTTCCTTTCGGTCGCCGAATCGTGACCCGGAATCCGACATTCCGTGAGAAAAAATTTGTACGCGACGCTTCCCTTCGCGTACGATGCATTTTGGAAAATTGAAAAGACCTCTGCTACTCGGCCAGCCCGCCGAAACTACGTCGGAATCGCGATCGGTGCTCGTCCGAGGAAAATCTGTTCCCTTATCCCGAACGGTGTTTCCAAGAGGCACGCGCACGCGTGTGTATGTATGCCCGCAAAGAAAGGAGTGGATGATCGGGACAAGAGGAGGAAAAAAGAGGTCGGACTTCGATCTTGGAATTTACCGCGGCTTAGCAACATGGTCCCCGCGAGCCGAGAGCCCCATATACCGCGCGTCGAGGGCTTTTTCCCGGAGAACTCGCCGAATAATTTATCGCCGGGCGAATAACGTATCGCGGACGTAACTTATCCTTATCCGGGGAATAGTTTCCGGAGTAGGTAATGGAAACGCGTGTTCCGAAAGCGATTCGTAACGCACGCCAAGCGAAACTCTCGCGCTCTGTATATAGACGGTAGGGCTGCACGAAAGGCGAGTGGCCCTCTAAAGAAATCATGAATCGGACAAAACGAACCTCAAGAATGTATCGACCAATCGAACTTCCGGCAAACTTGGACGAATGCTCGCTTCTCGGCAAACTAGAGTATCTTGGTCCGGACAGTGCCGGGAAACTCGGAGAACGGTCGAGAACGGTCGAGCACGATCGGTCGTTGTACCCTCGACCGCGACCCCCTCGGTGTTTGCACGCGTTCGAAGAATCGCGACGCAACGAGAACGGAATTGCGGCGGGAACGCGTGCGTCTTGCGAACGATGGAACGACGCGAGAGAGGTAAAGGAAAAAATGTGAACCGCGTTTTCAGGTTTCGAAATCGCGCGGCGGGATTCAACGTGTATCCGTTGTTCCCGTGCTCCTTTTATTCCACCGCTTTTTGCCGTTCTTTCTCTCGTTCGTTTTTTCGGCAAAAGTTCAGCAGTCGCCGGGGGGTAGCTACGAAAACACGACGGTGCTCATTAGCCGGAAGGACG